CAGCTTTTTGGCCTGAAATAATTGCTTTGGTAACTGATAAGTTTAATAGAGTTGGCATCTAACATGTCTTAATTTTTTCCTTAAACTCTTATGAAGGACTAATCAAGCCTTTATCCAATCAAATTAAGCTGTAATTCATGAAATCTCAGAATTCCTAGCCAGCATAGATTCACACCTAAAATGAAAGAATTCAATTGCAGACCAGAGTCAATCTGAAGCAACTTCCAGTTCACAATGGCAGTCTATCTGTGGCAATTCTAAGCCAGGAAACTTTTTTCAGGTCTATGGCTCAACTTTCAAATAAAGGCCCATCTCCCTTTGTCATTCAAAATGAATTGTGTGTGTGTTTAATTCTTCATGTTCTCAAACAGGCTATATAATGTATTGTTTTATTTAAAATAATTATTTAAAATTAATTTTTATTTAAAATTAAAACCATTTTAAATAAAAAGATACCTCTTTGAGAACATGAAACACACACACATGTGCATGGCCACACACCCACAGAGATAACAGATAATACTGTTGCTCTATCTTTCTGATTTGAAGCAAAAATATGTAATTGCTTCAAGTATTTGCTAACAACATATTTATTTTGGAAATGTTTAATATTCATGAGACTGTGTGTGTGTGTGTGTGTGTGTGTGTGTATGTGCGTGTTTGTGTGTCCCAGAATAAGTATAGAATAGGTTTAGCTTCTATTTCCATGCTTCTCTAATTATGTTAATATTAGTAGTTACTCTACAGTGATAGTGGGTGAATAATCACAATGAGGTTCCCAGAATTAGTCCCAAGGGCTGTTTTTAGTGGCTTTGTCACAAGTTCAAGGATATATGCTTTATTCAGAACATTTCTAACTAGTCCTACATGTCCTACAAAAGTCGTAGACTGCTGCAAACAGAAAGCAAGGGAATTATAAGTCTGACTTTTTTTTAGCATGCTGTAAATCTTCTACCAATAATTGAGTCAGAGCTAAAGGGCAGCAATTTAGACAGAAAGTAGCAAAGACTGTTCAGAGAGAGGTTGCTTGCCCTCATAAATAATGCCAGTGTTGCAAGCTGTTAGCCTTGAGAAGTTTGGAGGCAGGAATGCTGAGGGAAGTCCAAGATCATCTTTGGGCCAAGCACCAAAAAATTTCACAGAAGGCAGTCCAAACTGAAGGTCCAATTGCATGGCAAAAAACCCTGGGGAATTTAAAGTAGGCTATCACAGGAGCACAGATCAGGAAGCAAGAGAATTATTTCCAGTTTGGAGGGTAGAAACAGAGCAAACTCTTACGTAATCTGAGTTGTTGGCTTTGCTTAATAGATGAATGAATACTTCCTTTTCTTGAGGAGCTGTGCCGATAGCTTTTCATGGTAGTATAATTTAGGGCTTGGCACTCTTCCAAGAACAGGCCTTGACACCTTACTGTCGAAATCAGTGGCCATGGAGCCAGACTCATCAATTACAGGTGGCTGATAGGCTTCTTGAACTACTGACTTGGAATCTGCTAGGTTGTCTCCTTTAGCCTTAGAGTCAGAGGAGTCTGTAGTATTAACTCTCATAATTACAGGTAGTCCTTGCCTTACAAGCATTTGTTTAGTGACCGTTCAAAGTTACAATGGCACTGAAAAAAGTGACTTATGATCATTTTTCACACTTACAACTATTGCAGCATCTGCATGGTCATGTGATCAAAATTCAGATGCTTGGCAACTGTCATGTATTTATGATAGTTGCAGTGTCCTGGAGTCAGGGGATCACCTTTTGTGATCTTCTAACAAGCAGAGTCAGTAACAGTAACAGGGTTGGAAGGGACCTCGGAGGTCATCTAGTCCAACCCCCTGCTCACGCAGGAGACCTGTACTAGGGATTCGAACCACCGAACTGCCAACTTTTTTGATCGACAAGCTCAGTGTCTTAGCCACTGAGCCTCCTAGTCAGGCCAGTAGGGCAGAGACAGTGGGGCAGCCAGATTAGTAATAACCATGTTACTAATTTAACAACTGCAGTGATTCACTTAACAACTGTGGCAAGAATGGTTGTAAAATGGGCAAACTCACTTAACAGCTATTTTGCTTAGCAACAGAAATGTTGGGCTCAATTGTGGCTGTAAATCACAGCTGTAAAGTAGCAGCTCAAACAAAACAAAGTTTTCCTTTGCTCCATTGAGTGTGAATATCAACCTGTTAAGAAATATTGCTGTTTTAAGTCCCTTATACATGAATGTATTCCTTTGCCCATTTCTTCCTACCTAAACTTCAGTGACATACCAAAATCTGAATTTTTCAGTTGTTATGTTCCATGAATTCAGATTGTTGTTGGGATTGAAAATCATGGCAGTGTGACATCTGTTTTGGTGATATATAAAGTCATGTAAAGTGAATTAGTGTAGTCAGGCTAGATGTCAACAAGGGAAATGTTGTAATAAAAGTAAACATTTTTTTGGCTGTTTAAAAGCAAATCACTTTCATGCTAATGTGTTTATCTCCCTCTCCTTAAATCAAAAGGAAAGTATAATGGCATAAATTGTGCTATGTTTGTAGCATATCTTTATCATGCCTTAGCAGTAAGGCTAAAAATTATTGCTGCCCTCGCAAAATTTAATGTGAGGCTGTTTCAGGATAGTAATACCCTGTTATTCTTTCCCTAGGCTAAATACCCCAGACTATTCCCCCCACATCCTATCCATTATCATCCCTTGGAGAAAAAACCAATTATAAGTCGCCCTCTTGAACTTGTGCAAGAGTATAAGGTTGGAAGTTCAAGCCTTAATTGTTATTTATTTTTCTGTAATTTCTATTATTTCTGTATGTTTCTTTTGAAGGAACAGTAAAACAGTTTCATAGATACTGCCATTAAGAGTTTGTACAGATCCCTGCAAGTTGCTATTTTTTATAATACTGACCTGTCTTATTCCAATTGCATTAATTCAGATGATCTGGTAATCTCCTGTCAGAGAAATAGAAGATCAATATATTGATGCCTTGAATGCCTGAATGAGGGGCTGATTTGGAATGCAAAGCCTAGCTGAGGCAGAGGGCTCTTAGTGCTTGTGCTTCTGGGTCTTTCTTTCTTAATGCCAATTATGCCCATGGTTTTTTATTATTTTTTTGGAAGTGGGTGTGAGGCAAAATGTCTTTTTTCTTTCCTATTTGTGTGTGCATGCGTCATGCACGTTGCCTCCTTTATGATCAAAACCCTGCTTATCCTGCTAGAGCAGGGGTCAGCAACCTACGGCTCTGGAGCCACATGCGACTCTTCCATCCCTCTGCTGTGGCTCTCTGTCGCCGGTTGGCTCCACAATTGATAGGGCTTTCGGTTAGTGTTTAAGGTTGCTGACCCCTGTGCTAGAGGAAGCCTAAGAAAGAAACAGAATGCACTTCTTCCAATAGCCAATACCCAGATAAGTAGGAATCAGCATTCGATAAAAATCAAGATGAAATAGTACCCTAATCAAGAAACCATGAAGGAGAAAGCCACAGCAGGGCAAGCCACTGTATATATAAACAGCCAATAATCTTCAATCTCCTTTGCACTAACGATGTTTCCTAGCCTGGTAATGAAACATCTTCATAAAAAACAACCACGCTCAGAGAGCACCAAGAACCCAACAGTGATTTTATTACTGTTGGTAATAAAGGGTAAAGTGTCTAATGTTCTGCCTCAGAGGATTCCGGCATGAGGAAACCTCTCCTGGGAGTGTAGGATGGACTTCAGCCGGAGGAAGTCATAGGCATTCAGGCACTCAAAGAGGCTGATCCAGCCAGAAATAATCAGGAGCAGCTGCATTCACAGTCAGGGGATAAGGAACAGGAGCTGGGGCATCTGGTCAATCCACGGGCATACCATGTGTCACAGTGAGCACAGATGCTCTGCAGGTCTTCTTCACTGGCAAGGGCATTCTTAGTCTTAATGACTAACTGACATAGGATCTACTTAAGAACCACCATTAGCCAAACTATTCTTTCTCAAACATTTTTATTAAGAATTAGGTAAAACCAATACTAACTGCAAAAAAATATAAAGGACAAAAGCCAATGCAAACTAGAAAAAATATATAAGGAAATAAAAAAAAGAGGGAGGAGGTGAATAGGTGTGAAAAATAAAAAGAAAGAAAAAGAGAAAGAGAAAGGAAAAATAAATAAAAATAAATTACTTCTCTCTTCATCTCAGCAGGTAAAAAAAACAATCTTAGGATGTTTTTTTAGGATGCATGGTAACCTGGTTGCCAAGCAATCAGATCGTGATCATGTAACTGTAGGGGAACTGCAATAGTCAGAAATTTGAGGATCCATTATAAATACCATTTGTCCAGCACCTTCATAGCTTTTGAACAAGAGAGGACTACCAATATACATATTTAGAACATGCTATTTTAGGCAATTAAATATCCATTATTATAACTTTGGAACTGAGTGTTATTTCTATGTTACACAGACTATATAATAGCACAGTGCAGTAGTCCTCAACTTACAACAGTTCATTTAGTGACCATTTGAAGTTACAACAGCACTGAAAAAAGTGACTTATAACTTTTTTTCACACTTACAACCATTGCATCATTTCTGTGGCCACATGATTAAAATCCAAGCACTTGGCAACTGCTTCACATTTATGACAGCTGCAGTGTCCTGAGGTCATGTGATCACCTTTTGCGACCTTTGGATAAGCAAAGCCAATGGCGAAGCCAGATTCACGAAACAACCGTGTTACTAACTTAACAACTTCAGTGATTCACTTAACAACTGTGGCAAGAAAGGTCGTACAATGGGGCAAAACTCACTTAACAGATGACTCACTTAGGAACAGAAATTTTGGTCGTAATTTAAGGACTGCCTGTATAATTTAATTCCCATATTTCCAATATTGTTATTTAATCTTTTTGAATGTTCCCCATCTCTTTTCCTAAATAAATATTCTGTGATTCAGGAAAAAATGAATTATTATGATATAATAAAATAAAATTGCACAATACTTTCTTAACTATTCTGTTTTTATTTCTTTCTTAAATATAGTCGTCCTCAAAAGGTGTGTCTGTGCCCATTCTTGCCAGTTCATCCTTTGAAAGTCTCCACTTGTTTGTACATTATCCAGCATCCGGCAGAGGTGAGTAAGGTTAATGGAAGCAACAAATTCAACTAGCAAAAGGATGATCAGCAAAAGGATGATGCAAGAGAAAACTAAACCATGACAGATTTTATCAGTAAAACTAACTCATTTCCTTTAATTTTTTTAAATTTCCTGTAACCTCCTGATTTATGGTATATATACACAATACAGACTTGAAGGAATATAATCAATTGAAAATGTACCTAATGGAAATTAGTAATAATGTGCAAAACATGGACTGTAATAATAAATAATAGGTAAAACAAATTAGAGGAAAATACTTAAATAACGAGAACTATATCAGTATCATTTATTCTCTATATCATTCTGCCCTTACAAATCATCCTTAGTGCCTTCATGTCCATAAATGGGTAGCTTTATATATTGCTTTGATTCTCTCTCTGATAATTTTTTCAGTTCCTAAAAACCTTAATTTTCTCATTTCAATCTATTTATACTTTCTTCATAGGTTTATTTTCTTCTGGTCCTCATTCATTCTATACAGTATATGATCATATTTCAACTTACTTTTATGTTCAGACTGCATTCAATACCTATCTCTTCTTGTTTTATCCCACACTTCTTTTTAGTATCTTATTGCTATGGCATTCATTCAGTTTATTATTACTTTTGTCTTTCTCCAACATACCCCACTATCATTTTCATATAACATATCAGCATAGGCAGCTATATAACCTTGCTCATATATAATGAAAAAATGTATGAAGAGGATTGGAGGATGGAAGATGGAAACTAATCAAGAAGAGAACCAATCTAGAACTAAAGAGAGATTTCCTGACAGTTAGAACACTTAATCAGTGGAAGGCTTGCCTTCAGAAATTGTGGGTGCTCCAATACTTGTTAAGAAGAGATTGGACAACCATTTGTCTGAAATGGTATACGATTACCTGCTTGAGCAGGAGATTGGACTACAAGACCTCCAAGGTCCCTTCCAATTCTTTTATTCTGATTATCATTCTTGTGACATGTAGTCACTCTCCAACAGAACTGAAGTTGTTACAATGCAGGAAGACAAGAACTAGAGGGAAATTTACTAATATATATTACTGCAGAGACACATGTGATACACTTCTATGGAGAAGTGGCAAAATTTATATACGTTGCACATCCAAAGGACTGGACTTTGCAATAAAAATATATTTTATTTAGTCAGCAAGAATATAGTCTTTGGGCATTGTGTGTAATAGAATGGTATACTGTTTTTGTTTTCCCACTCCTATAAAATTGATGAGAACTACAACATAGATGGCATTATTTCCTATAAACCTGCAGCCCCCTGTTCCCTGTCCAATTCACTGGCAAACTTCAGATGAACACTAAGCATATTTATTACACGAGGGAAGAGAGATATAGCCTATTTGCCTGTTTGTTCACCTTGACTTATATTTTGCCTGTGTGGAGTTTATATATTGTGTGAGATGAGCTGTAAGATTATTCAATTCTCAATCTCTTTCCCACGTTCAGGAGAAGTTGCTTCCAATTTCAGTTGAAGAGAAATAACAGTGGGAGAACTATGTGTCCATCTGGTTTCAAACACTTAGAGGGATGTGAAGAGCAGAGTACAATGATCCTGCAGGAATGCCTCTTTTAAAATTCAATTGCTTCACATCACAAATTCTTTAACTGCAGATAATGAAAAATTATGTAGCAGCAACATTTATTTTGTCCCCTTTCTTTTGGTCCCATGGAAAAGGAATTAATTGTTTTGGATTTTATCCTGGTATAAAATTCTACCAATTTTTTTGTATGTGATAGAAACTATGGACCCCTCGATGGTATAGTCTACATTCTTTGAAATGCTTCAGTTTTGCTTTCGTTACCTGTTAAGTATAAATTCTGATGGAGCAATGCCAGTGCATATTGGGAGTTGACCATTGGCAGAATAGTTATTCCATTATTTCAGCTCTGTTTTCATTTCTGTTACTGATGTTGAAGAGTTGCTAGGCTGAAGCCATAGCACTACTTGGCCATGGTACTCTTCATGGTAAGGTAAAGATTTCCCCTGTCCAGTTGTGTCCGATTCTAAGAGAGTGGTGCTCAAGTCCATTTCTTAGCCAAAGGAGTCAAAATTGTCCAAATTTACCCTTTTTGGTAAAAATGCTGAGGGGCACGGGATGCAGCAACCTTCCTATCAAAGCCTTCCTATAAATACCTACCGTATTTTTCAGCTATAGGACACACTTCCCCCCACCCAAAGTGGGTGGAAATCTCTGTGCGTTTTATAGAGCAAATGTTGCCAAAGCCTTGCCCACCCGTTGGCAAACCTTTCGGCCTCTGTCTCCCAGCAATTTGCCTCCTTGCAGCAAACAGCAAACAGTCTGGTCAGCTTCAGCACAGCCTGATTTAGCACGAGCAGCTGATTGGCGGTTGGATCTGCCTTCCAGAATACCACCGATCAGCTGTTCCAGGCTGCGGGGTTCGCCGCCACCTATCAGCGCCGCTGCCACCTATCACTGCCTCCACACGCCCCATTTGTGGCCTCCGTGTGTCCCATTTTTGGCCTCCATGTATCCTGTTTTTGGCCCATTCCAGGCGGCAGCGATAGGCAATGGTGGCAGTGATCCCCGCCACCTGGAACTGGTCAAAAACAGAATGCACGGAGGCCGAAAATGGGGCTCATGGAAGCAGTGATAGGTGGCAGTGGTGATGGGAAGTGCCGGCACTGATGGGTGGTAGCGATTCCCCACAGCCTGGAAAAGTTGATCGGCAATATTCCGGGAGGCCAATCCAACTGCCAATCAGCTGCTCGTGCTAAATCAAGCTGTGCTGAAACTGACCATGCTATTTGCTGTTTGCTGCAAGGAGGCAAATTGCTGGGAGGCAGGGGCAGATTTTTTTTTCTTGTTTTCTTCCGCAAAAGCTAAGCGCGTCTTATAGTCCGAAAAATACAGTATTTATCTTCTCACATTTACATGCTTTCAAACTTCTAGGTGGATAGGAGCTGGGGCAAGTAACGGGAGCCTACCCCATTGCGCAGTATTCTAGTCTCAAACCTGGGCTGTCAACTTTCCAACCCAGATTAGCTGCTAAACTATTGCACCCACTACTTTTCATGGTTGTAAGAATATTTTGTATATTTTCTTCTTTCTGTCTTAAAATATTTTACTCACATATATGGGTTTGACTAAAAGAGATTGTTATTTATTTTATCTAATTAATCTGGAGTTTTGTCTGACAGATCCATCAAAATTAAACTATACACTGACTTTCTGTATTTGATTAATTTGCTTTCATGTATGCTTTTTTTAATAAAGGCAATTTCAGAAGAAAGCATAGAAAAAAACATGGCTCATCAAACCTAATTTTAAAGTGCATATATATAAAGTATGTATATGTTGACTGTTTTAGTATGAGTAATTAGATATATTCAGATTTGCAGTAATCTGCTTGCAGATACCATTCATTCATTCATTCATTCATTCATTCATTCATTCATTCATTATCCATTGGAGCTAAGTCATCCAAAAGATTTAAAATAATAAGAATAATAAGTTCTTTGTAATGGACACAAGCTAATTTGAAAAAACACCCTGAAGAATTCTGAAGTGAATGTGTCAACAAATGGAGCAAGTAGATGAAAATTAAGAATGATGGACCTTGCTTTCTTGCTACCGTGTTTCCCCAAAAATAAGACTCTCTCTTATATTTTTTTGAACCCCAAAATAAGCGCTTGGCCTTATTTTCAGGGCGGTCTTATTATTTTGGGGCACATGGAGCAAGACAGGGTTCCTCTTGCTGTCTTACCAAATTTCTAGCTCTGTCTCCCTAACCCTAACCAGAGGAAATGGCGGGACAGGCTGCGCATGTGGTTAAATATTTTCGGGGAGGGCTTATTTTGGGGGGGGGGATTTTAGCACATGACCTCAAAAGCCCAATTGGGCTTATTATTGGGGATGTCTTATTTTCGGGGAAACAGGGTTCTAATAATTAATTCAGTTCCTCAAAAAATTATTTACATAATATATATATATTGTCTGTTGTGACCCTGGTAGCCTAAACAAGCTAAATTAGTGTGCTAAGATTTGTAAGCAAATCTTTTCTAACTTACTGAAGCAGCTGTTGGGACTTTGAGCCAAAGGTATTGTCCCAGTAATGGGATGAGAACAGCCCTCATTGATCAAATGACATCCTAAATGCAAACAGTTCCATTGTATTCCTCTGTCACTAGCTTTGTATCCAAGGACAAGGAAATGCTTTCAAGGCACTGCAAGATGTTTCAGAAATAGTGACATATAGCTGCCTGTGCATGAAAGGACAATCTGATCTCTTACTGGAAAGGATTTTTGGCTTCCCCAGTCCCAGCTCCTAGCAGCAAACTGGCATAATTAGAAAAAGAAAGCCAAATGCAGCATTGCCAACACATAACATTAGGCTTGTGGAAGGTAGCAGATATTTGCCACTTTGATGAGCACAGAAACGTGTTGTTGGAAGGGGGGGAGATGCTAACAAATGTACAGTATATAAGTAAGAAGGGGTGTGTATCCAACCATAGACCTGAGAGTATGAATTATTGATGGAGTACTGATGGGCTGACAGGTCTGTCTTTAACTATTAGTTGGAAATGACAGGTGCTAATTAGCTGCTAGTTGAAATGGAAAAGCTCTTTTTCTGGAAGAGGCCCAAATATCTGTGAGGTTTTTGATATTTCTGGTTTATTTTAGAAGTTTTAAATAGTTATACTTTTCTTTTAATGGCACAGGTGTTCATATTATCAAAATTCCTTACATTGGTTGTTCCTCTATTATAACAATTAAAAAACCAGGACTGGAGCCAGCATTCAGGTTTTGCTTTTAAGCACCATAGGTACACAGGCTGGAAATAATATAAATGAGATACCTAGAGAGAGAGAGGCTGTTATGACTATATTGGAAACAGAATTGGCCTACTTTGCCTCATTTTGAAAACTGGACTTATGGAACACTTTACATCTGGTCATATGTCACACTACAAGATATATTCCATCAAAATTTTGCATTATTTGGTAAATTAAAAAAGCACAAGATAAAATATATTTATGTACATATCAAACTTCCAATTTTATATGCAGCTTTCCCAAATATTGGATGCTATTTGATTATCATTATGTACCATCAGGCTACTATCAATTTTTATTACCATACAGTTGGATTTTCTGCAGGAGGATCTATACCCAACCTGATCCTTCAGCTCTCCCCATGGTGTACCCATTGCCACCTACCATGCTACTACCGTAATTTGTTTGTTTATTCTTTTATTTGTCACATTTAAGAGCCTCTCTCATAGTGGGATTCTGGGTACTGTACAATAAAAGATTAAAAGCATAAAAACTGTATTAAATTTAAAAGAGGCAAGAGATGTTAAAAGTTGATTAAAAGCAGGGAGGGCTTTCAGCTGCTTTACAGCATTTTCAGTAAATAAAAATATACCCCCAAGCAAGGGTGGAGAGCATGTTTTTATGCCTTTACAGACAAAAGAGTGGAGGCTCACCTCACCTCTGGAGGAAGTGTTTTCCACTTGCTCAGTAGTTTATGTAGATGTTAAAAAGGATTGGAGAAAATATTGAGCCCTGGCAAAGCGGGCTGAGAGTTGGACCTCTGGTTCCCTATCAACATAGATTGGGACCAACCTCAGAGAAAGGAATTGAAACAGCATACAACTGTGCCACATACACCCAACTCCCCAAGTGAGCCCAAAATGGTTGATGGCATCAAAAGGCACTGAGACTTTTAATTCAGTATATGATTATATTGTTCATTCACAACCAGTGCTTTGTTTACGTGCATGTTTTATCTAGGCATTCTCATGTTTCTAAATGGAAAAGAATTACAATATTAAATCATATATTATATTCAATTTTAATTGCAGGAAAGTAGAGTGTTACGAACAGTACCTCTTCTAACTGCTTGTCTTCCTGAAGACAAATGTAAAGTCTTGATTGGACGACGCTTCTGTGAAGACAGGTGAATATCACTATTAAAATAAGTTTTTAAAATCTTTTCTTTGAGAAAAATAGTAAAACAATATTATTTTAGATTTGTAGTTCAGTGTTTTATAGTGCACATATCAGAATGAACCTTAAAAACCTTAACATCGCAAAATGCTTAAACAACAATAAAAAGTTATAAATGACGATAGTTTCTGTATCTTCAAATTGTACCTTTCTTATCTTTCCACATTTTAATTATCTTTACCTTATGAATTATTTTAGACTGGTTTTTATTTAGTTCATTTCCAATAAATCCAACTTAGTCTCATCTGATTTCTCTTCAATATTTCTATTATATTGAATTCAGCAACTGTATTAATGCTGGCTTCCTATTAATCTGTGCCATTCGTAACATTCTAATCTTTACATTTTATATCATATTTATCCTTTATTCTGCACTGTATTATCCTACAAAATCTTCTATGAAGGACTGAAGAAACTTGTCTTTTTCTTTCTAGAAGTTTGGTGCACATAGTTGAGAATAAATAAATAGTAATTGGCATTAGTCATTTCTCCAGAGTATCTCATACTCTTTTAACTGAGTGTCTCATGTACTCATTACTTTTTCTTCTTATAACAGGCAGTATGCCTTTCTACATCTCTTGCTGCAATCTAAGTTTGAAGATAATATTGTATCATGTCCTATTTGAACATTTCTGAGTCTCAGGTTGGCTCCTGAATGAATTAAATTCAAGACCAGATTGGATTGTCTCCTGATCAAGCAGGATTTATCTTAAGCAGCTTACTCCACAAGAATCTATCAGTTATTCTCACTAGATATATTTCTGGTTTTTTCCCCCAATAGGCTTTTCATAGCTCAGGATGTGTAATTTTCTAACTTTTAGTCAGCATACACTAACCCTCATTTCTGGCTTTTTGATGATCAGCCCAGTCACCAAAGCTATGTTCCTGGTAATCTGGTCTTTTCCTTTTTAAAAAAAATTATTTCATTTCTAGACATTATAATCACAGTAATAGTCTAGCTTTATCCTACTTTTATTCAATTACTCATACTTCCTAATCAGTAACTAAAGAGAGAATAGCCATTTTTGGCTTTTTGTCTTCCTGAATTATGACAGGTTTAAGGATAAGGCATTTTTGTGCATGGGATAGAGATAATAAATGTGATGCTACTAGAAAAATAAGATTAGGTATTTTTTGAAGTACCAGGAAAATGAAACAAAAAGTACCTCAATCCTATGTGATAGTTTAGCAACATAAAATGTACCCAGAGATCAGATTTTTGGCTCAATAACTTGTATGCTTTTGCTGAATACCGTATTTTTCAGAGTATAAGAGGCACCTTTCCCCCCCAAAAAGAGAGTGAAAATCTGGGTGCGTCTTATACTCCAAATGTAGCCCCGTCCAGCCTCGCAAACAGAGATTTCAGAGGCTGAAAAAAGCCTCTGAAAGGCTTTTATCTAAAATAATCTGGCAAGCAACAAAAGTAGAATCAGTAAAGGTTCTAACCAAACTAGCCTAACAAATCTGGAGAATGACACAATAACCAACAGATCAGAAGAGATTAATCTATATACCAATACCAAAGAAAGGAGATTGAACAGAGTACAGATAGTCCTTCAGAAAAAAAAGCCTCTGAAACAAGCTTCAGAAAAAAAGCCTATGAAACAAGCTTCAGAAAAAAAGCCTCCAAACAGAGCTGCGGAGGCTTTCAGAGGCAGAAAAAAAAAGGTTTTTCCGAAACAGAGTTTCAGAAGTTTCAGAGGCAGAAAAAAAAGCAAGGCACAGATCTCACACGAAAGAAGCTGTTGCTAAAATTCACCTCTGGGACAGCTGATTGGGGGTATTCCGGGAGGCAAATGCACGCACCAATCAGCTTTTTTCTTATTTTCCTCCCCCAAAACTAAGGTGTGTCTTATACTCCGGTACGACTTATACTCCGAAAAATATGGTATATCTTGGCAGAAATCTGTTCAAGTAAACATTACTAGATTCAAAAACTGCTATGTTCCTTTCTATATTATCTTTGTACTGTGATATTTAATTTAATGTGTACCATAAATAAACAAAGTATGACTTTGTTTAATAACCTACAAGTAAATATGTGTTCTATTATTTATTTTGAACACTGTTTCAAATAATGAAAGCTCCTATTTGGAAATTTGTTTTCTTTTAGGTTTATAATTAATTTTGCAACCCGATCGTAATTATTGTTTCATTTGAGGAAAAGATAATGTAATAATTCTAAAATAAATATTATCAACAAATTTTAAAAAGAGTCATTTTATCAGAGAGTAATTATCTTTATGTAGATTCCAAAATGATTTTCTTTTTGGTAAAGCAATCTTTTCTGTTGAGTTCATGTTTTGAATTTTTTAAAAAAAGAGTCTTGATACCTTGAATTTTGAGACTGAAAAAGTTATAGCCTGATTGAAATGGCAGATACTACTGCAGTTGTTTTAGAACTTAATAGTATTTTACTTAGAAGTAGAATTATTTGTGCATAAATATAGTGAATACAACATAAATGTTTTTATATGGCATAACTAAATGTTAAATTGGAGTAATCCAGACAAAAATACTGTTGTGCTTAGTATAAAAATGTTGCCCACTTTAAAAAAGGACTTTTCTATTTTTTCTTAGTCGAGACTAAGCCTCTGTTTTCCAACCCTTTTAACAAATACCAGTATCTCAATACTAAAAATTGTGTAATGTAATTGTGCATACATAAGAAACTCACATTATAAAAAACCATCACTCTTAGAACAGGTGGTGTAAAGAGAATGAGCAACGATAGAGTTTATATCTTTTACATTACAGGGGTGTCAAACTGGCACCCTGCGGGTTGGATGTATCATATACAGGCCACACCCATCCCAGCTCCGCAGAGGCAAAAAACATTGTAATACATCACATGATGCAATCAAGTTTGACACCTGTGTCAAAGTCCAGTGACATCAGGAATAGAAGGTGTAAAAAGAAAAAAAAACACAATACAATGGAAGCTTTGATTTAATAGAGCCTTATTTAAGATACAATGGACTGAATTGCCATTTATATGACTTCTGAGTAGCTTGGATGAGGTGGGTGGGTGGGTGGGTAGGTAGATGGATGGATGGATGGACAGACGGATGGATGGATTCATTCATTCATTCATTTACCACATTATGATTATGATAAACATTATCATATATATGTTGCTATGACATGCATTTATATTTAATGCTCTTTTGTGAATAATTGATATCTAATCCATTAAAACTAATACACTTTTGTCTTAGAACAAAACTCTGCTCACCCTTCTGTCTTGTGTGCTGTGCCCTTGTTTCTTTTTTGGCACTTTCTTTTGTTTGTATGATTTTCTTATTCACTCCCTGGATATAAACTTTCTTTTTAAAAGACTTGGTATGGGCTGTGTTAATATAAATTAGAATTAATTAATTAATTAATATATGAATTAATATATATTAATTTATATATATTAGTACTGTGTTTCCCCAAAAATAAGACCCTGTCTTATATTTTTTTGAACCCTGAAATAAGCGTTTGGCCTTATTGCATGCACTCAAAAGCCTGATTGGGCTTATTATCACGGGATGTCTTATTTTGGGGAAAACAGGATATGTATGTATGTATGTATGTATGTATATATGTATGTAAGTATAAATACTAATTTATTTATTATTCCTCCTTTTTAACTCATTGCTGAATAAATGTACTTATAAAGTGTGCTTGCGTGTAGTAATTGACTCTCATGGGGAGATATGGCCAAGCAGAAACAAGCAGTAAGTACAGAGTCAAATGGCCTCTGAGGAACAGAAGGCTTGTTATAGAGTGTCTCATGCTCAGTGAAGAAATTAATAAGAAAAGTACCATCTGCTGGATTCTTAAAAGCAATTAGTAACAATAGGTCACTAGGTAAATGGCAGTTGGCACATCTGTTATATGTTTTATTATCTCTGTACCCAGTTGAGTTTCTCTCAGAAATGGGTTTCCAAGAAATTAATCTAAAAGAGTCTGTGTAGTATTGGTCAGCTCTCTCTGTTTAGGATATGTCTTCAATCCTAATTTAACTTCCTTTTTAAATTTGTAGTTATAATTGGTTTTTTAAAAAGCTATACTAATTTCTACTTGAACAGAGGAAAAACCATGTACCATATTTTTCGGAATATAAGACCCTCTGGACTATAAGACGCACCTATGTTTTTTAGGGAAGAAAACAAGAAAAAAAATCTGCTCTGCCTCCCAGCAATTTGCCTCCTTGCAGCAAACATCGGAGGCCGAAAATGGGGCACGTGGAGGCAACGGCAATCTCTGCAGTCTGAAACAGCTGATTATCGGGAAGCCGATCCAACCGACAATCAGCTGCTTGTGCTAACCAGGCTGTGCTGAAGCTGAAACTGAAATGGGCTGTTTGCTGTTTGCTGTAAGGAGGCAAATTGCTGGGAGGCAGAGGCCAAAGGGTGGGGGCCAGTGGGTGGGTGGGGCTACATTCAGTGTATAAGACACAACAAGATTTTTACCCTCTTTTAGGGGGAAAAAAGTGCATCTTATACTCCGAAAAATACGGTAAATCTATTTCAGCAAAAACTAAAAACTACAGTGAGTCTTGTAGAACCTTGAAACAATAGCATATTCCTTATGGTAAAAGTTTTGTGAACACAAATCAGTCAGCTTCATACGATGCTGGAAGGTTATTCTCAGTTGACAATTGTATTCAAACATGAATGTAGAGGAAAAACAAAAAGTGAATACTGAAATATGAGAAAAATAAAAGTGTTGAAAGTACAAATTGTGATAATTACATTGAAAGTTAAATGAGTGTTGAATAAATAGAAAAACCATTCACAATCTTTTATTAAATATAATACAAACATACTGGCAACACTTGACAATTCAACTTCGCATAGATCAGTAATAAGTTGAGTGAAGTCCACTGTTCTTACATTTAACATTCATGTAGCTGAGGTTTACAGCAACTCCCCACTTCCCCCCAAAAATGTTACATTACTTTGGTCTTATGGCCTATTTGCTCAGTGTAATCCATAATAACCAAGCTCCAATTATGGTAGTTCTTCAGATATAATACTTGATAAAAAATGCAAGCATTCTTTTGGAAGTTAATAGAAATTTATAAATAGGTAATTCCATTCAACTGAATGAAGAATACAAATGATTTTTGGGGGGTTCATAAGCAAATATCAGTCTCAGGGAGGGTCAGCTTGTAAGTAAGGTCAGTCCTGCTATATACTTTGATGAACAGAATAGGTCTCTCAGAAATTCGGGAATGAATGAGAATGTGGACTCTTTGGTGAATACATTAGAAAAAGATTTATCTTGATTAAATTGGTTCAACCATAAAATGATTCATATGAATAAAGAAATGTCTTAACACACGACTGATTTCATGGTTTCAGAGAGGATGACTGATTTTGAATGTGGAAGAGATAGTTGTTTGGGAGTTGCTTTGAATGAATCTTGCAAAAAATGGATATAGAAGAAAAGGAAAGAAATTAACTAGAATGAAGAAAAAATGATATGAAGAAATATATCAAATAAGTTTCTAGGAACTAATTTTAACTATTTTTCTTTTTATTTCCTCGTGGCTTTCCTTGCTACTTACTATTTCTTACTCATTTTCTATGCTTTCCATTACATTGTTTACTTTACAATGGCATGAAGGGTATATAGCAGTGATGGCGAACATTTTTGGCACCAAGTGCCAAAAAGGTCGCACGGAAACTTTGCACATGCACGCTCGTCAGGGTCACGCTCCAGAAAAGCTGAACTTCCAAGTTCTAGCGCATATGCACACCTGATGATCAGCTGGCCGGCATGCATGTGCAGGCCAGTTTTCGGCACTGCCATGTATGTAAAGGGATCGCGCTCTGGAAAAGCCGAACTTCCGGATTATAGCATGCATACACACCTGATGATTAGCTGGCAAAGGTGCATGCACAGGCCAGTTTTTGGCACCGTCACGTGCGCAAAGGAATCATGCTCTGGAAAAGCTGAATTTCCATGTTCTGACGCACGTGCGCACCCGACAATCAGCTGGCCGGCGCGCATGTGCACTCTGGTTTTCGGTACTGCTGCTCCTGCGAAGGACAGCTGATCGTCATGCGTGCCAGAAACCCGGAAGACAAACAGGAAAGGCCGTGTGTGCCGGGAGACATGGTTCCATGTGCCACTTTGGGCATGCTTGCCATAGGTTCGCCATCACAGGTATATACACTAGAAAGTGTATATACACTAGAAAGATAAAGAAAATAGTGACAAATTGTTTCCAAATGATTACCAAGAAAACTGCATGGATATGCCCAGGTAGTCACTAGGAGTCAATTTTAAATTGTAGATATCTTTATTTTTAATTTTAAAAACATTCCTAACTGGCATAATATTCCATGTTTAGAACGTAGATATTTTGGTTAGTGGGGCAGTTATTTTAAAAAAGATAGGTTAGTTATTTTTACTTGCCTTAAAATTATTAAAACTATTTTTTTTTTAAAAAATGTTTCTAGGTATCCTGAATTAGCATCCATATGCAAAAGTTCAAATACCTTAATACTATATCCTGGCGCTGGAGCAACAAATTTGGAAGAAATGGATTTGAGTTCCATTAATTCCTATGCAATCATAATCATTGATGGAACATGGAGTCAAGCAAAAGATATATTTTTAAAGAACCCCCTTTTTCAAATGCCCAAGCAGGTAAGATTTAGAATTCTTATGATTACAGTTCAAGTTCTGTGTTGGAGCAGTTCTTTGCACTATTTAAAATATTTGTAATTCTTTTATTCATGCATACTTTTTCTTAAAATTAACAGGCCTCCCCCTTCCATATATATATATGTGCAGAGTCTTTATATCTGATCCTTTGAAAAATGTTTGATTTAAATCAAATCCTCACATTTAAAAAGTTCATAGCGTATGCTTTGCCTCCAATTTTTAAAAAAATGGAATGTAGCTGTTTGTTTAAATACATATTTTTGGTACATCTGCCCATTCCTCAGGTAGATGAGCTGTCTTTATTTCAGTTACCCCAAATGATCTTTTTTTTTTTTTTTAATTTATATGCCGCCCTTCTCCGGAGACTCAGGGCGGCTTACAATGCGTTAAGCAATAACCTTCATACTTTTGTATATTTTTACAAAGTCAGCTTATTGCCCCCACAAACTGGGTCCTCAATTTACCTACCTTAGAAAGGATGGAAGGCTGAGTCAACCTTGAGCCTGGCAAGATTCGAACTTACTAATTGCAGACAGCTGGAGTTAAATTACACTGCATTAGTCTGCTGAGCTATCCAGGCTCATTTTTTATTGGATAAGGACTTGTTCCGTTTATAGACCAGCTTCTGTATCCATGATAAGCTTATAGTGTGTATGATATTTAGATACCATAGGCATAAATATATAATCATAGGCTTGATCATGCACTTTTTCACTCTGAGATAGCAATAAAGCATTATCTGAATTGGTTTATGTGAATTAGGATAAGTTTTATTGATGTTTTGTTCTTTATGTTTTCTTACTAGCCTATCTCTAGCAATGGACATAATATATAAATAGTGGTGACAGTTAACTGAAGAAAAATATAACCAGCTAATTTATTTATATGATAAAGGAAGGCCCTGGACTTGATCATTATAAGTTTAGATGTGCACATTTTATACTTGATGGCAGATGAAAGCTGCTAGCACTTTTGCTATTTGAATTGCTCTTTTAGAAAAGAGCATAATTTGCCCTTTCGTAAATGTGTTTCATGATTGATATGAAGACAGTAGTCCTACTGTGATATCGTAATAACAATTTAATGTCTTCAGCATAAAGCCTTTATTGGAATGATATTGCGTGACAGGATTAATTTTGACTTTTTTTAATAATGTTGTACCAGATTGTGTATTTTTGTGGTATTGCATTTTGGCTGATACATGTGGCAATTTTAGATTTTCATTATGTTCTTCAAATTAATGAGTGTCACAAGAGGAAGAATTGTCATTACTTTAAGGATCATGAACTAACTTCACTTCAGTCGTATTTTGACTCTTTGAGAATTCTAATTCATATAGTCTTAAGAAAAATCAGATCATTATCCAAGTTAAAAATAATCCTTCTAGTTCAGGATATATATTTGCCCTGTATTCTTATCTTCTATTAGGAACACACTAAATTAATCTTAGAATTATAGTATTAATTAGTCTTAGAAATTATAGTAACATAAAGTAAAAATAACATTAATTTCTCTTTCTTTCCAAAATGAGTATGAAGGTTTTTTAAATGTTAGAAATACTGGTGCAAAGGTAAAGTAAAGTAAAATAAAGTTGTGATATGTAATAAATTATTGAATTACATTCCTTGTTGCTGGCCACAGGAGAATTGCTATAGTTCAAGTTTTTCACTCAAGCTTAGATGACTGACTCATCTTTAGTTTCCATCCTCAGCAAAAGGTCCATTGGATGATTTGGCCTAGTCACCGTCTTTCAGCCCAAACCTAACAACTGCAGAGTTGTTATGGAGAAAGTTGGATAAAGAGAGTGATATCCTTGCTGCCTTAAATGCTTGAAAGAAAGACCGTAGAATGAACAAATGAGAGAAATATTAAGGAACAGTAGCTTCAACAATGCAGTTGGGTCATTCTTATTTGAGTTTTCATTCAGTAATCCACTAATACAACTAACCTCGTTTGTTTAGGACTGTAGTAATCATTGAAAAGATTGGCATGCAGGAAAATAGCAAATTGTTTGTTGCATTTCATGCTCAAATCTGAATTTTAAATACTATCAAAAACAACTGCCCAGAAAGGATTTGAATTGTCCAGAAAGGTTATGCCACTGGCTCATTGATAAGGAAGCTCTTTCATGATTATTTCAACATCTCTTAACCTGAAATAGTACCAATTTAACCATTTTTAAAAAAAATTGATTTATATGCCGCCCTTCTCCGGAGACTCAGGGCGGCTTACAATGCGTTAAGCAATAGCCTTCATACTTTTGTATATTTATACAAAGTCAGCTTATTTCCCCCACAAACTGGGTCCTCATTTCACCTACCTTAGAAAGGATGGAAGGCTGAGTCAACCTTGAGCCTTGGAGAGATTCGAACCAGCAGTAAATTGCAGGCAGCTGTGTTAATAACAGGGTGCGTAGACCACTGTACTATCAAGGCTCTTGATAGTAAATTGACAGCAAAACATTACTGTCAAATATAGATCATCTTTCTTTGCCTATAAATTTCTTCAATCACTATTATGTACTTTGAAGCTGAAATATTAGAAATTACATTAAATAATGAAAACAGAGAAATATGAATCATTTGCAAAGTTCCCAATAATTATATTTTTAAAATACATTTTATATATGAAAAGGAGCAATTTGCTGTTGGCAGTAAAAGTTATTGGTGTTTTTTTAGTCTGAACGGCCAATACATTTAATGAGCATCTTCCATGTCTTGTTTCTTTTAACACAAAATATGTATTATAGCACTATAATTATTCATATTATTGCACTATTTTGTCTGTGAATTGTATGTATGCAGATATGCACATCAGGGATGAGTTCTATTTACCTTTACTACCGGTTCGCAATGGGAGTGTGCGCGCTTCTGCTCATGCGCAGATCATCCATGATGATGGGTGGGTGGGCGGGGCCTCCTGCCGCTTTTACTACTGGTTTGCAAGAACCGGACTGAACCAGGAGCAACCCACCATTGATGCATATACCGTATATATGTCCTTGACTAGAGTCTTATAATAATAAGATCCCTTACAATTGGAAATTCTTGTTTTCTCTAGGGAGTTACCTGTTTACAAAATAAGTTTTCATTTTCTGCCATCTTGTACATACTATAAATGTGAAGTAATTGAAGCAAGTTCTCTTTTTCTCAAATAGCTTGTGTCTATAAACAATGTTATATAAAATTTAGGATCATTGCCACAAATCTCACCAATGAAAGGAACACTGGAATGAAAAGGCATGTTTGATCTGCAAACAAGTGTCAAAATATAATCATTTTATTAATTATAGTAGCATACTAAGTATATACTTTTAGTATATACTAGAAGTAGTAATGACCATATCCTTTTCATAATAAATATTTCTATCGTTCTATGCTGTTACTTTCTATTTTATGTATTTGTTTTAATATAAAGTTTTATCTGTTGTTATGAAATAGAAGATAAGCCAGAAATAAATTTAAAGAAGTAGTAAACTGATTACTAAGTATGTTAATAAACATAATTGTCATTAATGTTATTGTTTTAAAAATTCTGATACAAAAACTTTTTTGTATCTTGACATAGATGAAATAGAGTTATTTATGATATTACATATAGAGCAGAATCTTAGAGGTAGAAGGAAGGAAGATAGTTATAGACCATCAACTCAACATCTAGGAGTCTGATTGCTGATTGACCTTGTGTCAATATAAATAAGTAAACCTAAGTACTTCAATTTACAATGTAAATAAAGCTAAAAGACTTACTTTGCTGCCTCCATTTAATTATTGAAAAACATCCAATACTCTTATTAATGCTTCTGCTCTGAAAATTTTTGTTTTCCAAACCTCAGAGCCCTAGAGTAATAAACTTGCAGAAACAATTTGACATAGATAAGTCTTCTTATCTTCATGATGATGTAAATGCTATTATCACTACAGTTCTAAATAAGATGTTAAATGCAGTTTCATTTAATTTATGAGATCATCATAATTCCATAAATAAATCCCATAACTGTGTTCTCAGGCTTTCTCTCTCTCTTTCTGTCTTCTTAACCTCAGGGTACAAATCCTAGGCATTTTTATCCCATCTTCTTGAGTTTACAGACTTTTGACTTCTCTTTCATTAGCCTTAAAGCTTTCTGCTATCTATCCTTTGCTTATGAAACAGTTCTTTATGTTGCGTATATCACAATTTTTTGTCTCACCTGGATTCTTATACCAACTCTCCACCTATGTTTACTTCCTTTTCCTCTTTTCTAGGCTTTCTACAAATTATTGTTGATGTTTATATGCATTGGTTTGTGTAGTGGTAAACCAAGTTAAAAGTTAAAATACAAAACATCCATCATTAAAGTCCTCTTCACAGCAGAAGCTAAGCATCCAGTTATCTTTGATAAATGATTCTAGGTAGGCCAGCTCGGTATTTGACATAGGGCAATGGCATTATGCAGGAATCTATGCTCCAAGAATTAATAAATAATTCAGACACAAAATCAGCTGGATGAAGGACAGAATCTGTACTTCTATCTTTACCCATCAACAGAGTCTGCATATTTGGCAAATAAGAAACTCTGAAAATGAAGGTAGTTGTTGCTATTACCCCGACTCATGATTGTTTGATGGATTTTAATATTGTATTATTTTTCAACATTGACTGCAAATAATTTTGATTTCTCAACCCCAGAGTGGGTCTTGTGGGAAATTCTTGTGGGCCTAGGAACACACTTTTAGAAAGCCTGATTTATTTTCTAAAGGAGGCAGAAATGAACTGATAAAATTATAATACAGGCAATCCTCAACTCATAACCACAATTGGGTCCAGAATTTATATCAGCAGTCATTGAAGTCATAAGTCCAGTCAGACTCAATTTTACAACAAAGTATACAGTGTCGTTAAGGAAATCATGTGATTATTAAGTGAATATTGCAGTTAAATGAATCCAGCTTCCATAATCAGTATTTTAATCAGCAAATTATATCCTGGAAGGTCTGGGCAGG